GCCGTAGTTCCCCCACGCTGGCTGAGGAATTCTGGGAGTTGAAGTCCGCGAGTCATAAAAGGGCCAAGTTTGAAGACCCCTGTTCTAGAGCAAGGGTGTCCAACCTCAGCGACGTCAAGACCTGTGGATGTCAACTCCCAGAATTCCCCAGCCAGCCTGAGGAATTCTGGGAGTTGAAGTCAGGAAGTCTTGAAGCTGCTGAGGTTGCCCATCAGGTTATGGCATTAGGAAGAAGTTTCTGATCTGAACGCTCTCACGGTGTTTTTTTCTTGTGCATTGGGGAAATCCTTTGTCAACAAATCATATAATCCAAGAACTGGGTGTTGGGTTTATACAAAGGGTGTGTATCATTAAAACCACAGCAAAATAAAAGATTTCACAAAATTGGCACTCGCTCACAGCACATGGACACAGAGCATGTGATTCCTCGGACAGCAGGCTCCGATCTCGTTTTCTGGGCTGGAACCGAAAGTCTTCGGGGCCTCTCCTTTCCACAGGATATGCATGTTTCGGACCTGCCTGTCCTGGCCTGGACAACTTCCTGACAGGCATATGTAGTGCAGCCATTTCCTTCCCTCCCAACTTACACGTCAGGTCAAGAATTGTCCCTCCAAGTACCGTCTCTTTACAAGAGAGTAGAGTAGAAAATAAATGAATAGAATAGAATAGAATAGAATAGAATAGAATAGAATAGAATAGAATAGAATAGAATAGAATAGAATAGAATATACCTGCCTGAGCAGGGGGTTGGACTTGATGACAAGGTCCCTTCCAACTTTATTATTATTATTATTAGAATAGGATAGAATAGAATAGAATAGAATAGAATAGAATAGAATAGAATAGAATAGAATAGAATAGAATAGAGAAAATGAATAGAATAGAGAAAATGAATAGAATAGAGAAAATGAATAGAATACAATAGAGAAAATGAATAGAATAGAATAGAATAGAACAGAGAAAATGAATAGAATAGAGAAAATGAATAGAATAGAGAAAGAATAGAATAGAGAAAGAATAGAATAGAATAGAATAGAGAAAATGAATAGAATACAATAGAGAAAATGAATAGAATAGAATAGAATAGAATAGAATAGAATAGAATAGAATAGAATAGAATAGAGAAAATGAATAGAATAGGACAGTGATGGCAAACCTTTTAGAGACCGAGTGCCCAAACTGCAACCCAAAACCCACTTATGTATCGTCGGGTGCCGGGTGGGTGTGGCCCATTGGGTAGGCGTGGCCCATTGGGTAGGCGTGGCTTCGGTGGTAACGGCAGACTGGGTGGGACTAAAAAGTTCAATCAATCAATTCCAACTTTGCGAGATCTTTTTTTTTTCCCCGAGAAGTTGAAATTGACTGATTGATTGAACTTTTTTTTTTTTTTTGCACACGGCGGCAGAGGCCTAAAGTGGAAAGATTTTATAAAACCCAGCTGAAGGCCTAGGAGTGGGGCGACGGCGCGCGTGCCCACAGAGAGGGCTCTGAGTGCCACCTATGGTACCCGTGCCATAGGTTCGCCACCATGGGAATAGAATAAATGAATAGAATAGAGAAAGAATAGAATAGAATAGAATAGAATAGAATAGAATAGAATAGAGAAAATGAATAGAATAGAATAGAATATAGAATAGAATAGAAAATGAATAGAATAGAATATAGAAAATGAATAGAATAGAATAGAATAAGGAATAGAATAGAATAGAATAGAATAGAATAGAATAGAATAGAATAGAATAGAATAGACAGGTCCTCCTGCTTGAGCAGGGGGGGCTGGACTAGAAGACCTCGCAGGTCCCTTCCAGCCCTATTCTATCCAAAACGGTCCCTAAATGAATCTTTGCAAATGAAGGATCGCCTGCAAACCTTTGCCCAGGCTTTTACAGTGCTAAAATAAGCAGTGGTCCTGTCCGCAGTTTCAAGCATGGTTGCTGGGTTGGGAGAGAAAAAACAACAACTCGGTATTAGCCGTGTCCAGTATTGCCTGGACAGCTGGTTTTCCTGTGACTCGAGCAGAGACAAACAATTTGTGCGTAAGAGAGCCACACAAATCCCCTCCCTCCCTCCCTCCCTGCTCCACTTCTCCTGACCGACGGACGGACGTGCCAGCGTGAACCTTCTGCTCCGTTGGCATTGAGCCGGACAGCCGGGCACTGCCTCCCCCCCCCCCGCCTTTTCCTTTTCCTTCAGCAACTCCCTTAAAACGCCTGCTTGGATCCTCCAGGTGTCTCCAGCCGATCTGCCAGAGGCGATTGCCGGGATGGATCCCCAGATCTCAGCCAGATTAAACTCCAGGAAGAGGAGGAAAGAAGGAGCGGGTCCCAACGGGGCTGCCCAGACGGATGGCATCCCCTTGAAAGTGCCCCGCAACTCTATAGTAAGTGGAGAAGGGCTGGGTCCACAGGGGTAGGCAATCTGGGCTCTTTTACAACTGGTGGACTTCAACTCCCAGCATTCCTGAGCCAGCGTGGCTCAGTTTGGAAACCTCTCCCTTTCCCCTCAGCATGGCTGGCTCAGGAATTCTGGGAGTTGAAGTCCGCAAATCATGAAGGGGGCCACAGTTCTCCCATGCTGGCTGAGGAATTCTGGGAGTTGAAGTCCACCAGTCATGAAGGGGCCATAGTTCCCCCATGCTGGCTGAGGAATTCTGGGACTTGAAGTCCAGGAGTCATGAGGGGGCCATAGTTCCCCCATGCTGGCTCAGGAATTCTGGGAGTTGAAGTCCAGGAGTCATGAAGGGGGCCACAGTTCTCCCATGCTGGCTGAGGAATTCTGGGACTTGAAGTCCAGGAGTCATGAAGGGGGCCACAGTTCTCCCATGCTGGCTGAGGAATTCTGGGACTTGAAGTCCAGGAGTCATGAAGGGG